GGAAGGAAGGAAGGAAGGAAGGAAGGAAGGAAGGAAGTTGGGGGAGGGGAGAGAGGGAGGGAAGGTGTTATGGTTTAGATCTAGAAATGTCTCCCAAAGCTCATGCTTTGAAAGCATGGTTTCCAATGTTAGAAGGTTCAGAGTGGGGCTTTTAGGCAGTGATGAGAGGTGAAATCTCATCAGTGGATTAGTCCATTTGACTATTTGAATGGACTACTGCATGGTAATTGGCAAAGTCACTGGGGGCATGCCTGGGGGGTTATATCTTATATCTGGTTTCTCATGCTCTCTCTGCTTCCTGGCTGCCATGAACTGAGCAGGTTTTCTCTGCCATATGCTTCACCTCCGTGTTCTGCCTCTCTTCTGGCCCAGAGCAATGGAGTGGACAGCCATGGACTAAATGTCTGAAGCCATAAACCCAAATAAACCTTCCCTCCTATAAGTTGTTCTGGTCATATACTCTGGTCACAGCAATAAAAATCCAATTAATACAATTATGAAAATAGCTTTAACCTCAGAGATTCCTAAAAGGTCTGCTGGCCCCAGAGCCTGAAATTATGTTATATAATGGAATAATCAAAATATTTAATTAGCTCATAAATGTCAGTTAAGTCATTAAATCTATGTATATTAAAATATGCATAGATTTATATGGGTATACATACAACGTGAAATTTATCTGTTTAGATCTTCTGAATATATAGCATAAAATCCATAAGAGAATAATATAGAATGCATATATAGTAAATTTTAAATCAGATTATCATCACCCCTAGTTTATTGATTATTCAGAATTGAAGATTTCCTTCATTAATCACTTTGATGTTTACCAGATTTGACAGGGCAGAGGAAAAAATCATCATTGACTATATATTAACATTTTAAGAAAATGTTTTATAGAGAGAACAACATTAAGAGAAAATTTAACAAGTTAGATGAATAATATTTTTTAAAATTAAAAATACATAAAAAATTGGTTTATATAGCTAATAATCTAAGAGTTTTGTATTTCCAAAAGTCTCTACATCAAAATCTATGTGAATTAACATAATCTGATGTCAAAGTCTTGCCTGGAATCTTGAGATTTTTCTTTGTGTCATACTATACCCTACAGTTACCTGCAAAACCTCAAAGCAAACCTGCAGCCAATGAATACACCCACATACGGTGGGGAAAGACCAAAAAAACACCTTAATCATCAGTGTTCACCTTCTCCTTGCAACAGCGGGGTATAGATGACAACAAAACTCTATTCACAAGCCCATGAAAAGCAC